ATTATATAGAAACTCGTCCATAGGGTTAGGTTAGGGTTAAGGGTTAGGTTAAGGTTAGGGTGCTAACATGCGATCGGTTTACATCGGATTTTAGGGTTGGGTTAGGGCTTAGGGTTAGGATTAGATTAGAGTTCTTCATCATGTATTGGTAGTTGTTACGATACAGTGAGTTGGTGTAGACGATGATATGACTTCCACGTAAGATCTTATAGATTAGGCAGTTATATCATGACAAATCTACAAATTTAGGATTAGGTCTATTATTAGAGCAGTACTAATATCCTAGTAGACCATAATTCCACAAGCACTCGACAAACAATTGAACAATAATTTTGTCAATCACAAGTTCATTTCCACTTCTGCTATAATTTGTATTGGTATTTGTGTTTCAGTCAGAGAGTTTAGATACTGTGTGATGGAAAATTGATAAATGATTTGCAGGTAGTTGTTGGTAAACACCTTGACATAGACAAACATTTAGCTTATACTGGAAGTGTGGATATCAATATTAGTTCGAACAGAGAACATTGAAGTTGTTTTCACAAAGTTAAGCCTTAGACTAACCATGTAGATAAGCGATCGTTTCCAAGTGAATACGTTTTCACTTTGAAAAACATAAACTTGGTTGTAATCTTTGCTGATCGTACTTAGTTATTGTTCTGTAATACATGTGTAATTTCTTTGACTCTGAGATCAACATGATAAATGGAATCGTGAATAATTAAGACACAGTCAATCGTCACAAACAGGAATCCTGTTATCTAGACGTGCTAAAACCAACGGGCGCACCTTATAACTGAACCGTTAAAAATAAATATCAACTATGATCGTGATACATCTAGATTTGTTTGAGTAAAGGCGTCCACCGAACGATGACAATAGAAATCATAATAACAATAACAATGATAAAATGTTTAGTTGAAGATTCAGACGAAGATGGGAAATAATTCATTTGTAAACAGAGTTTGAATTCCATCTCGATGGATATCTGAATGATCTATTGACTGAAACAGTTACAGTTGATAGAATTTCAAGGCATTTCTGAACTCCTCATATCACTGTGTTGATATTATGACAGAGTCAATATAAGAAGCAGCAAATCTCAATCTAATCTCACTTGATTCTGGCATCAACCATGTTAATCAATTGATTTCATTTTATTTGTAGTAAGATTGTGTAACGTGCAATGTTGCCTTGACAGTTCCATTGATGTTCCATTGATGATCTCAGTAAATTAATAGCAAACAACTGCAAATATTCTACGCGGATATCAAGCTATTTCCTTGAACTATGCTACGCGAAATCTACTCACATGCTGTTTCCACATCATACTCATGTCAGTTTCATTATTTTTGTTGATCAGGATGAGATTGTGACCGCGATGGATTTTCTCACAAACAACAGTATAGTTGGTTGGAAATCGACATCTGCGTTTAATAGTCAGTGTATGTAGCATGGATAATGATTGTATTGACAAGGTGAGTGTGTGTGAGACATAAATGTTTAATGTTTAGCTTTACAGAGAGAGTGTTTCAGTGGAAAGCTCAGTTGAACTTGTCATTGTGTCGAACCAGTCACGCGTGAACCAGTACGATCAGCCTAGCATCACATCACAGTACTAATTGGTTCTTCACGTCTTGTCCGTTATGTCCGTCGAGTCCAGAACACAATCTCAGCTTCCACTGTATGGATCATCTAAATCGGACATATGCAGTTTGTTTACAGGCAAATCAGACCTCTTCATACCACAAAGTAGAGAAGTACAGTTTTAATATTATTAATAATAATAATAATAATATATATATATTTCTACATATGCGGGTACACGCCATTTTTACAAGTATGATCTATAAATTACAACATTAGTTGGTGCACAACATGCTTTCGAACTTATTAAGTTTATAGTTGTTATAAGGTGGAGTCGTATAGCGCTTGCTGTAAACCATGACCTTGAGGAGACGCGTACGTCAATTTGTTCCAGAGGTCAGAGGTTTCATAGCTGTGCGATCAGAGCAACATTCTGAAGAAGAAAAAAGAAAGAAAAACAGAAGAGCAGCAAGGCAATTGGATATGAACCCCATTGCTTAGCATTGCTTAACATTGCTTAACATTGTGTAGTAGAACAGACAGAGGTATAATAAATTAGGTTAAATTCATATTATCTCTTGTTAGAGTGAAATGAAGTCAGAGGCTCCATATCGGAGAATGTAGTAATAAGGAACAATGAGTTGTGATGTTTAACAAGTTGGAGTAAGCTCACATGAAGAAAAGGAAGTCAAGGTCGGTGCAAGGAAAGTGGTTTATTAGAAGGGAGTGTGCATATAGAGGGTGAAGTGGTAAGAATACTAATGACTATATCCTTCATTGTCTAGTTTTTTCTTTCTTTTCTTCTTTTGTCCATCCGATGCCAGACACACAATCCTAGTGTAAAAGTTCGAGTTAGCATGTTATAGGTTGTCTTGGTAGAATAGCTAATCCAGCATAAAATTGGAAACATGAGTCTGAGTGGTGAGCATGAGAAGACAATCTACATCACAGGTTGATTGATTTATTCCCAATCATAAAGAGCCTGATACATACAAAATGTTCTGCCTCACAAACACGAGTGGGTTGAAGTCATCGGCCTCACCATCAATGCTTGCTGGTCAGTAACTCCACACTCGCTCCTTTTCTGATATTAGGCTCATTTAAGCTTATTTTTGGATATATGTCGTACCTCACACAATACTGTGTTTCACAACCTGTTGGAAAACACTATTTCTATAAGTACCATTTTACAAGCTTATCAGGCAGTTACAAGTTATAGACTGTGGGTAAGGCATGGATGCAGTGCTTTAATTGACTATACTGTAGAGTATAGTTTGCGAATCAGAGTATAAGCATTAAGGAGGGTATAATGTTGGATAGTTGTTTATTAAAGCAGGCGGAAAAGTATAGAAGCATATGAGTTATAGATGAGGTAACGAGTGGAGAAATAATATTAATTGCTAGTCAACATAGTGTACAGAAGCGTGAAAAGCTAATACAGAATAAACAGGAAGAAACTCACATTCTAATGTTACTAAGAGTTTATCACAAATAAAGAAACTGCTCCAGTCAGAGTGCTTTATTAGAAATCGAAAGTTTTCCCAGTCAGCGTTTGCCAAGTCTCTATGTTGGGAAGGCGTATTTAATGTCTTTAGTTTGCTGCACATGGCAAGAATCGGAAGGGTGTAGAGGACTATTTAATGGTCGCTGTTGTGGAACTTGTCGCCAACCACCACTGATGTTGGTGTGACATTATGACAATATCGAGTCAAGAATGTTGTGATTTCATGTAACCAGCTGTACATGCTGTTGTCAACCGTGTAAGTCTAAGGATCTAAATATGCTTTCAAAGCACAATGGGCCAGAATGTCTCGTCCAGTTGATGGTGGGGAGGTTGAAATCATCACATACAATTTTGTAAGTGAAGTCAACATCGTGCCAAACGTGTCTGTGACTGTGAGAGAGTGTAACTAATAGATTGGGAATAACGTAGGAATACTAAATCGTATATTATTAGTTATACCATAAGAATATATATGTAACAACAGTCGATATATAAGTTTCAGCAGTTAACGTCCATTTATTCTTCGTTAGGATGTAACGAACCCGGATTGATGTTTCATAACACAATACTTCATTGATATTGTTGTGACTAGAAAACGATGACTATTGTAGATTTCATTTGTATTTATCCGTTAAAATGTTTCTTGCCTTCAAAAATCACAGAATGAAACTTCTATACACTACATTTGTACAATGAGAGAGATAAGAAAAACTGATAGCAACACAGGGAATAATGTGAATGCCCTGATTGTTCGTCAATAGCTTCCAATTACATCCATTTATTTCGTTCACCTTACACATAATCCATCTCAGTGAATGACAATGAAGTTAGTTTCTTGATAGTTACAATCTATTCAGTAGATCATACTCGAATGCCACTTGTTATTTGCGCTACCTTAAAACGACTAAACATGTATGTGAATAAGTCAAGACTGGTTAAAATTAGTGTTCGATCTATTCCAACATGGCAACTTAATGTCACTTGTGAAAACGACTGATGATGGAATATGTAAGAAACATTTTCAAAGGAGGTCGGCTGAGTCACACTCACTCCCATGTCTTATATTCACTGTCTTACAAACTGATATTAATTCTCAAATCTAATGTGCTTCATTTACACAACATAAGCGAACTGATTAATTTGTATCGAAACTTATAAAGCACAGTAGTATCATATTGAAGCAACACACTCTGTTGAGAAAATCACATGTCCCTGTTTTGAAATTCAAAGTGAACAGAAACAGTTAAAGCAATCGATCAATTCTCATGGACAACTCATTCCACTGAAGTAACGTTGTCATCGTTCCTGTGAGATCAGACCACACATACAGTGATGAGTTCATTAGGTGATAAACGAAATGATCTCTGTTCAAATCAATTACATCATCAAAATTGAATTGTTATTGGTTGTGATGTCGGAAGCAGTTATCGTCAGTGCATTGAGCTATTCGAGAAGAACATAAGTAAGTCGGTTTAAGGCAATAATGTTTAACGAGAGTGCAACATTAAATCACGCACAAACATCAGTTATGAGCACATCAATATGGAATCAGAACTAGACTTAATTGACGAAGTAAATGACACAGTATCCTCAATTGTTTTAACATCAACATAGAATTGACCAAAACATGTGCATGTAAACTGGAAGAAACTCACCATGGGAGCCATAATCACTATTCATGATGAAAGAAATGACAAATACAATTTGCATTCATCCAACTGATTAGAAATTATTCATTTTATCAATGAGCATCCACCCAATTGGTCAATTTGTGGATATGGGAAATTGCACCAATCAATTGATTCATCTCCACTATATAAACAGCAGCAGCAGCCGGCAGAAGCAACAGCAGCAGTAGTCGTTATTGTCGAACAACACACCATTTCTTATACATTTCAAGTTACATCAAATGATTCAATATTCATTCGTGATCACTGTGTACATTTCAATTCATCTTTCATATTGTTTGCACACACAAACAAATGTGACAAATCATTTGGCATTGTTATCCTCATGTGAGCAGTGCTGGAAATGCAGCACAAATATGCATTGCAACTACGCACAATGGATAGGCAAATTGGGACTGCCAGAGGAGACATTCTCACAAAACCACTGGTTGAAGATAGTCCGAACGAAATCAGACTGCCTTACTGAATGCCGATCTCATCCACAGTGTAATCTCTACACATATCAAATTGTAAGTTTAACATACATTTTCACTAAATATGTAATTGTCTAACTGATATATCACTGTATATATACATACTTCCAATTGAATTGATGATCACCGATTCATCTCAATATCAACATATTCTATTCTTAACAATAAGTGTCCAATTTGAGTTATTATTATTATTATTATTATTATTATTATTATTATTATTATTATTATTATTATTATTATTATGATCATTATTACCATTTATATTAGATGGAATGCTACATCCATCAAGCATTTGATGTATGAATTGCAGATATTCGTTACATTTCAAACTTCTCCTTATTTACAGCTCAAACCGATATGGTGCAAACTGTATTCTGGACTGATGGAAAACGCCACGATAAACATCGATTCAACTGAGCATATGACTGGAGGAAGAGTGTGTTGTTGTAAGTTGAAATCATGTTTATGATGGTCATATTAATAATAATGATAATCATAATGAGGATTGTTTCGAATATCCATAATTAGGGCCAGTGTATTATGGTTTGTATGATTAAGGGTAGTTGTGTAGTATTTTATATCAGTGAACTGAAATGACATAAATCATTTGAGAATATGCAGTTGGCATGAAGAAAGAAGCAAGTGTTTCCATGCAAAGTTGATCTGTAGATCTGAGCTAGCGTTTACTGATAAATGCACTGAGTGTCCATTGTCCATAAAAATGTCAGTCAGTCAGCAGTCAGTCAGTAAGCAACGGTTGACAGACGTTACAGAAAAGTGTTAAGTGAAGTTGAACAGTGAAATACGTTTTATCACAGTGTATGTATTTGAAGTTCCAGTCAGCATTCTCGGAAATTCAGATATTCTAAATAGCTTTAACTTAAGAACGCCTCATAACATCACCAACCAGAATGTTGCAACTTCTCTCTTCGAAGCATCTCCTTCCACCATTATGTTTGCAAAGTTGCTTCACATATGTGATGTTCCTCGAATCACCAAACTGTAGACTATTAAGCATGATTGAATAAGAATCTTTGTGGTAAGTAAACGGACAAGTTTACACTGTGAACTACGTACAATTCATGGTAATCGCAATCACTCATCATAATGAAAGTTCTTATTAAGTAAACTGTTTGCTGAATATCTATCTGTTGAATGTTAGATATCAGTGAATATTTTATTGCAGTTTTATATTTGCGTAATTGGTTGGCTCTAATGTGAGTCAGTCATCCATGTACATCGGTAGCTCCTTCAAACCATTTTCCCTTTCACGCTCTTCTTCCTCTTCTTCTACTTATTCCTCATTTTATTCTTTTTCTTCCGACATTCAATGTAATTTGTAAATGTATGTGTTTATGCGTCTACTGACTATTGTATTGTAATGAACTTTACTGTACTGTATTGTAATGTAATGTAACGTACTGAAATGTAATGTACTGTGCTGTGCTGTGCTGTTCTTCACTATGTCAGACATTCTGTAAGTAAATGTAAATAAACTATTCATTTGTTGTTTACCATGTGTTGTTCTTTGAAATTATTCACTGAATAGACGAGAAGACAATCGTTTGAATAGTAGTAATTGATTAGATGATGATGATTGGGTTGTGTTTTCTTTCATGGATAACACTGAATTATGTGTGAATAATGTGAAGAGAAACTGACGAAATTGTAGTTGACTGTAGGACGAGTAGGTTGACCGATGCAATCATCTGAGTAAATGACACTAGTTGACTGACTTGTTGAAACGGAACATTCAAACTACCCAACATACTAGTACATCTCAAGAAACCGTTCATCATCGCAATTATTCCGTTCACTTGTTATAAGGGAATTAATACATTAATTTCATAAACTAACATATGAAACAGTGAACAGTTTGAATCTCGTGTTTATCAGTTCGTCAAAGCTCGAATAAGAAGATTATTTACTTCGTGTTAGGTCTATCGAAGTGTCCACATCACCCAATTGAGGTACGCGCAAAACGGAAGTTCGCGGAACAACCATTTATCTAGAATAATCGTTCTTCATTGAATAATACACAAAAATTAGTTACGAGCCTCAACTTGTGATGTGTCTGTGACGATTGACGCGTCCTTTTGTATAGAGTGAAAAAAAAGACTCACTGTAACAGTAACACAAAGAAGAATTACAACATACGATAGAGCAAAAGACAGCTGGTAGTTGTGACTAAACTTGGTAACAGTTCATCAACATGCAAATCTCGAACAAATTACAAAACAATGTGGAAACTGTTGCGTTTACACAGTGCACAAAAGAGTGTGGATAACTGCAACAGTGATCGAGGTGAAGCAATTACAATGATAAATAGAATACATCTTATAATTATAAGTAAATATTTCAGAATATTACACGACAACTTGTGTTACAACATGGTTGCGAAAATTGATGGCAATACAATGATTTACTGAATATAAATAAGTAGTATAAAATGATACGCAAAAGAGTGGAGGAGAAGCGATTAACAACTATGTGAAAGAAGCGTAATACCGACCACCAATGACGACATCTCCTTCCTTACTCTCACTGATTAGATATTTAGCGTGAAGACATTCAGAGTTGACGATGGTACAATTCGCTCTATCCGAAGTCACTCTGAAAAGTCTTTCTACACTCTACTACTCAATCGTCTGCTCGTTCGAATAAGCAAATTTTACGTATGTCTCTAGTGATTATACATTTCTATGTTCTCATCTTAGCTTGTCTGACGAGACCATCTTTTGCTGGTTCAACACATACCACTAGACCTCTAAACCAGATATGTTGTACATAAGTATCTCCAATGATCAATACCAGATCGCAAGTGAAAGGAAGCAAATGATTGAATGGTCGATTTGGACATTTGATGGATGATCGCTGATGTCTATTCTAGTCAAACGATCATTCTTATAGTGTCCAGATAGTGTTAAGCTGAAAGGTTCCATGATGTTCACCGTTTCGATTTCAGGCATCTCAAGTCTACTACATAATTGTCATTGCTGATTTGTGCCACGTGTCCACACACAACTGTTGTCCATATCTCAGTCACTTTCATGTTATTCATACACAATAGATATACAAGGGTGAGTGCAATCATCATTTGAATAGTATGAGATGTACAATGTGTGAGTGAATCTGAATTGAAGTAACCACTGGAATTATCATTTCTGATCACTGATTAGACTACTCATCACAAATAACATCAAATGAACACCGATATCAGTAGATTGAATAGTAAATAACAAACACATTATATTTGACATAGTGAATATCAATTATTCATTAAATATGCGTCTGTCAACTTTCATGACAACTATTTCTGTAGTGTTATAATAGAACATACGAATCACTGGGGTACCGTACTGTGTGCATTGATGTTGTGGTGTCGTCAAACGTGTAGGTGGATTGGAATTCGCTTACAGTTTTACAAAGTATAGTAAGTTCAAATGACAAAACTCTCATCGAAAGTGTGTTCAAATGAAGGTTGTTAGGCAAGCTCACTGAAACTGAATGATTCGAGATGATTATTTTGAAGTGGAAATACTTCAATCAGTTGTTGAATGTTAGTTAGTCTGACGCTGAATATTGTTCAATTGGCCGCGTCAAACTGATTTACTGATCTAAAGCGTAAAATATAACTTTGTACATTGAAATATTTATTTATTCGAGAGACTGTAGTGGTGATTGGTGAGTCATGGTATTCTAGTCAATTGCATTAAAATAATGAAATGTCGACATTGAATGTAGTAAGAGTAGGCTTGTAGAAACGTACAAATGGGTAGAATCGTACGTATATTTACTGACTACTATTGATGACTGTTGTTTACATCACGGACAAATATTCATGGGAATTTCAACTTATTTACTTGTAAAACTGATATAAACTACTCGATTAACATCCAATTGTTTGGTATCATGAGTGTACTCTGAAACACAATTCAGCATGTGATAAGCATCAGTACGGTGAACACCAATGTACACTGAATCCGGATTACTGTATATTGGTCGATGTATACGACGCAAGCAACTCCGCCTGTAGTTCTTCTAGAGTTACTGCCGGTCCCAAACAGGGTAAAGGAGGAGAGTTGAGCATGCGGTTAGCGACGTGATCCCGTAGAAATCTAACTCGCTAAAACAACGCTAACCAGAGAAATTAATTCAAACCATTTAAACTCTGTGCTGGGAGTTAGAAGGTCTTTATTTAGAATAACTATGACGCATCAATAAAATATTCCATAGGACAATGGAAGATGTGAGAACCAGGAGAGCGGCTGACATAGCTTCAGATCACCACACCACCTAGTTGTGGTCAATTCAAAACTGAAGCTAAATAAGAACTGGACAAGTGGACAAACTGCACTACAAAGGTTCAATACAGCCTTCCTTCGATATACTGACAAACTCAATGAATTCAAGGTACCTCTCAACAACAGGTTCCAAGCCTCACAGGATCCACCAAAGGAAGAAGAAAATACTATGCAGGACAACTGGAAAGGTATCGTGGAAGCAATAACTTGAACGGGTCAAGCGGTTCTTGGCCTGAATAAGCATCATCATAAGCAATGGACTTCCATAGGAACACTGGACAGGATCAAATAAAGGAAGAACAAGAAGACAGCGATTAACAACAGCCGAACACGAGCAGAGAAAGTCCAAGCACAAGCTGAGTACATAGAAGCAAACAGGCAAGTGAAGAAGATCATTAGAGCTGACAAGAAGAAATAAGTGGAAGAACTAGCAACGATGGCGGAACAAGCTGCAAGAGAAGGAAATATGAAACAGATTTACGTTACAACGAAGAAACTAGAAGGGAAATATAGCAAACCAGAGAGATCGGTCAAACACAAAGAAGGTAGGCCAATCATTGAAACCGAACAACAACGGAACGGATGAACAGAGTACTTCGAGGAACTCCTGAATAAGCCTGCTCCATTGAATCCACCGGACATCGAAGCAGCATACACAGATCTTCCCATAGACGTCAACCCACCAACGACGGAAGAAATCAGAATGGCCATCAGACAAATCAAGTTCGG